CTGGGATTTATATGTCTTCTATAATTGAAACTTTGTTGCCATGAGCAGGGGCCACAGCCAGCTCAGGGCAGGCAGGAAGCTTGGCTTCCTCCATCGCCTGGGCAACCAAGCCTCCTGCTTGCTCCAGCTCTGTGGCTGCCGGCCGCCATCTTGGTTGGGTTAATTTTCATATAGTTGCTCTGATTGGCTGGTGGGCATGGCTTAGGGCATAGCAAAGGTACAGTCAGTTAGCATCTTTGTCTTTTATTAGTGTAGATAATCCAGTTAGTGTATGCCATGAGCAAGGGGTAATAGTTGTATGCTGATGAAGACATGGGATTTGGGGTAAGGGGTGGAGGTAGAAGAGAGTATAGGGAGGATAAATGGTGATGGGGGGAAAAAAGACATGGGGTTGTCTGCAGTGTGGAGTTATAAAGGCTGCAGGCAAACCTTTGGGATTGGAAGGATGGGTAAAGTGAAGAGAACCATATTGTCTCTTCTAAACAGCCTGGTTTTAACCCAATTTAAGATTCATTTAGTAGGTGAATTTAACTCTTTACATTTATTATAATTCCTGTTTGTATTTATTTCCTCTACCTTAGTTTTTGTGTCCCAATTCATATTTTCTTTTTTGCCCCATTTCCGCTTTGGGCTGATCCAATGCTGCTTGGGGAACTATTATTTATTGAGCACCTACGGGCTGCTAGGGACTTTGTAGTTGATTTTCTTTATTCTCACCACAAGCTTAGTATATTATATATCCTAATTTTATAGATGAGAATGGAAACTCAGAGGTTAAATTAAGTGTCTTTCCTAAAGTCACAGTTTATAAAAGGCCTCATGAATGAAATCACAGAAAGGCGGGTGGAAAGTTGGGCTCCCTATTTGCCTAAATGGTCATTGGCTGAACCCCTGTTCTTGTCTGGAATATTAAAGCAAAATAACCTACCTGGGATTGGTAACTGGAAACTGCTCTAAGGGTCATCTACTGGATGGAAGCCCAATAGGAATGGCTGATACCTGACCCCAACCTGCTCAGATCTCAAGCTGGAGGTAGAAGGCAGGCACACAAACAGCTTTGCCATCTCCTGGTACGTCTCTTTATCTGCCCAGCTTTAGAGTTTAGTGCCTGGCAGCAGTAGGAGAAAGACAGCAGGAAAGAGGTGATACGTGAAATCAATTTTGATAGAAATGAAGACTTAACAGAAGGAACTGAAAGCAAGTGTATTCCAGGCAGCAGCAGACTGGCTTAAGCAAGAAAAGAGTGAGAGGGTAGGAGAGAAAGAGTTTTTGGCTGCACAGATTCCTGAAATGTCCTTTCTTGATTGAATATTCCATACTTGTGTCTTGTTCATTTTTGTATTCTCAGTCTTTGGCTATGAGGTGATATTACTCCTATGCTAGTAATGAGGACAGGTTCAGAGAGGCCAACTGGCTGACCCTAAATTATATAGTAAGTTATATGCACACCTGATATAATTGCTGTAAGTAATTTACAAACTTTGGTAGTTAAATGGTAGTTATTAGTGACAAATGACATGGGACCCACTTAGCTGATCATGACATCAGTGGTCAAAACAGACCTAAGAGTCACTACCATGCCCACTGCTATTTCTTGTACACTTAATTGTGTGCTAGAACTTGTGCTAAGTAAGAACTTAGCTATTCTTCATGATAACCTTGTAGGGACTTGAATTCCTGTTTTACAAATCAAGAAACTAAGGCTCTGAGAGATACCACGAGAGTTGGTTTTGTAGGGCTCTTAACCCCAAATCCAAGCTCTTTCCACACCCACAGGCCCTGGTTTAGGAGGAAGGGAGCCTGGTTTCAGACCCTCCAACACTTGGAGCAGTAACTCTGGAACTGTAACCCAGTCCCCTAAAGGCAAGACTGCCACCAATGAGTGCTGCCCACAGTGCCCACTTTAGCCACTCTACCATGGTAATCTTTGGGACAATGACTTCTCAGTAGAAAAGAGGAGAAGGCCACTGTTCATCTGAGCCAGAGAGGTTAAATGCCTTATTTGCACCACAGCCATGTTGCCTCCTCCAATGGGTCCGGCTCGTGTGCAAGCACACTCCGTTCCCTCAAGTCTGTCTCCTCCCAGACACAGGAACTGCCTTTCCAGATGTTCCCATCTGTGAGATCCCATGTAGTCCCCCCACTTCTGGTCCCCTACGGATTCTGGTTTATTACCCAGGCTTTTTCCCCCCTTTCCTTTTTTGGAGATGTCCTGCCAGTCTGGTCTTAGCCTTAACTCTGATCTCAGGTCTGCTAATCTGTCACATGGGTAACACTGACCAGGCGCTCATAATGAAAGATGATGTGTCTCCTAAGCCCCTTACCCTGACTCCTGATGTCTGGGCTCTGCCATCAAAGCTTCCTGGGGAAAGAAGGAATTGGCCAAGGGTCCTGTACTATCTAGCCTGGCCATGGCTGTTTTTGTTTTCTCAGGAAAGGGAACCATTCCTAACAACTGTTTTAGCCTCTACCAGGGCCTATGGTCATGGTCCACTGGACCGTAAATTCTGTAAGGAGAGGATATATATTGGACTCTTTCGCAATATTCACAGCACCTGGCACATTGTAGGTGCTCAGCACACATTTGCTGAATGAATAAATGGGTTTGTCTTCCATGCAGTTGTTTGGACTCAGCAGCTAAGTGGTTTGTTTGTTTTTTAATCACTAACGGACTGGTTCATTGGCTTTGCATCTCGGGCCTCACCCCTGGGAGCCAAATGGTGCCTGGTTGGTGAGCAACGTCTGGAAAACACAGGAGTAGTGGCTGCAATATGTTCCTAATATTCTCATTAATGATGGCATTTATCAGTAGCAGCTGTGGTACAAGGTACAAAAGGTTCTTGTCCTATGGTCTTGCGCCTAAGTGATAGTAAACAAAACAAGCAACTGGTAGCACCCCCCTCCCCCCCATATTCTTATTAAGGCACAAGAAGCATCACTACCTCAGATTTATAACAAGAACATCAGGAATAATGGCAGGAGCTTCCCAATTTATACACAAGGAAAAGGAAGCCCAGAGAAGCACAGACTTGTCCAGAGTGCAGAATTGTGTTACTAGCTTATCCTGGAGCACCCATCTTTTTCCTGGTACTCTATCCAGGTGGTTCCCGCTCTGTCTGGTCCAGGTTCTGAAGTTTGCCTCCTATTGCATTCTGGCTATGTCACTGCAGGCACAGCCTGGGGCTTCAGTTGGAACTAGATCCTTGGAAAGGAGAGAGTTTTAAGGAATTTGGAAGATGGAAGATTGTGAATGGACAACTGGGCCAGGGGAGGTGGCTGTAGTTGTGCTGGCCCTTGAGCCCCACTGTCCTCACCTCTAAGGACAGAGATACATGGTAGCTATCAGGGCTGAGGCAATTGCTTCACATTTTTTCTGCCTCAGCTTCTAGAATCATTCTTGTACAGAGGCTTTTTTAAAATCATCATATGGATGGCCCTGGACGTTATGGCTCGGTTGGACATCATCCCATGCACTGAGAGGTTGCTGGTTCCATTTCTGGTCATGGCACTTGCCCAGGTTGTGGGCTTAATCCCTGGTCAGAGTGTGCAGGAGGCAGTTGGTCGATGTTCCACTCTGACATAAATTCACCTTATGCCAATTTGCAACTTCCTGTTTCTTGCTTGTAGTGATTCCTTGAGGAAGGGCTCCAGCTGCTGGGGTGCACTGACGTGTGGTGTCCCTGCTCCTGCAGCTCTTGCGCCACAAGGTGCTGGGAGTTTCTTTGTGACCCCTGACTTTGGCTGGGATCAAAGATCTCCTTCCCACCTCAATCTCCTTTCTCCCCAAAGCAGTATCCCAGGCGTTCCTCTTCCCAGGTCTGTCCAAAGATATGCTGCACTTAGCTTCTCACAGACTCAGATAATTTCTAAGAATGAAATTTCAGACAACAGCTTGGGACATTTTAAGCGACAGGCCCCAATAATCCAGGACAAAGGTTGCTGCCTACTCACTGTTGACCTTAAAAGTAAAAGTTATTTTACCTGGCTGGGTATCTCAGTTGGTTAGAGCATATCCCGAAATGCCAAGGTTGCAGATTCAATCCCTTCTCTGGGACATCAAACGAGTGGTACAACGAACCAATGTATCTCTCCCTTCTGTCTCCAAAGTCAGTAATTTTTTTTAAAGTTATTTTATCAGCAAAAATGAGTTTATTTAGGAATAGCAGTGTTGCAAATCAGGGCAAGCAAACTATAACAAAAGCCATAAAATGAAGGAAAGGAACCGTATTTTATGGAGAAAAAGGGATTTGGGATAGGTTTTGAACAAAGGTCCATTGGAGAAAAGTGATTTTAGGGAGGTGAAGGTTTCTCATTGGCAGAGTTGCTAGGGTAGTTGATTTCTTGTAGGAGATGCAATGAACATCTTTTCCTGTTGGGGCCTGTAATTGACAACTCTTCCTGTAGTTGCCATGGAGTGTTAGAGCTTCCCTTTCTGGCCTCTGGACTCCCATTTTAGTGGTTTCCTTTTATTTTCAAATCACCAAGCTCACTGCCTGCTTCCTGGCTGACACTGAGGTGTGAGGAAGGAATCCTGAACCCCAGCTTTTTACTTGGAGCCCCAACTAAAGGTTGTCAGGGTTAATGCCTGGGGACCAATGGTCAGTATTTATTTAGCTTGGCAATGGGAGAAACTCCTCCCAGTCCCCTGCACCTCTGGAAATCCCGGGGAAAAAAGGGAGGAGTGGGCACAAGTGGCACCTTTGTTTGGAAGTCTCCTAAGGCATAGCCTTCTGGCTGTAGGGACCCATGGCATCGCCCAGTCACAAGCAGCCATCCCAGGTTTATCAGCAGATCCCCCCAGGACAGACAAACCAGTGAGATTGTGTATGGAGTTGTACCTTCCTTGTTTTTCTCAGGGGCGGGGGGTAGGGGGAGCTCCTTAGAAGGGGAAAGACTGAATGGTAGTTCCTTAATGTTTCCTGTCTGTTGGGCTGCATTCCCTGGATGTGGAGGCATCTTCCGGTGTTCTCAGGTTTAAAGGTAGGGGGCAGCACTGTCTCCAGCTGACCTGGAGAAAACGCTTAAGAGGAGTATAGTTTTAGGGCCGGGATGATCGGGTTTCCCCCCAGACCACGGAAGTAGTGCGTGCGCAGCCTGCCATACTTTCGATGTAAAGCGGACTCCTTGAAGGGAAAAGGATCTTTCTGGCCCTTTAAAGAAACAGCCACACACTTTCAATGACCTGCACGAACTATTTGGATTTTAGCCCAGCCCAAGCCACGTGCCCTTGACGTCCTGCCTGCTAAAAGCTACGCCCCAACCTCAGTAGCCGCGCCCGCGCCCGCTCCCAGTCCTAAGAAGCCACATCTTACTAGAGATCACCAGCCCTTCAAGGACCCCAGGGTCGAGGGGGAGTTCCTACCTGGAAGCCCCGCCCCGCTGACAGCCGGAGCGGCGCTCAGCAGTTGGGATTGAGCACTCGGCAGGAACAGGTGCTGCGGAAGAAGCGGCACATGCAGGAGGCGCACGGGTCACAGCAGGGGGGCGCCGGCTGTTTGCAGCTGTCCCGGGTGGCTACGCAGGGATCGGGCGGCGGGGGCCGGATCCGCGTCACCTTCTTAATCGAAGCCTTTCTCTGCTGGGAAATGCCGGGGCTGTCCAATCGCCCACTCCCGCCCCACCCGACCTCCCCTCTGCCTGGAATCTTTGGGCTATGGAGGCCACGGACCCGACATCCCCACCCACTGCCCATCACCTGCTCAACTCACCCCAGGGGGCCCCGGCCTGCTCCCTAATCATGTCCCGCCGCCTCCATCCTCAGCAAAACTGACATGGCCCAGCCTGGCCCTCTTCGCTCCCTCAGGGACCCCACTCAACTCTACCGTTTTTAACTTCCCCTTCTCCCTTTCTGTCCTCTCAGTTCTGCCTTCACAATAAATCCTGACTCTCCCCACTTCTTCATCTCCGCAACCCTGGGCCAGGCCACTGTGTTCTGTGCTGCCCTGGGCCCCTTACAGTCCATCCTCCAGTGCTCCAAAGAAACCTCTCCGAAAACCGATGATGGCATCCCACTCTGGCTTAAAGCCCCCCAATGGTTTTTCCTTGCACTTGCAATAAAACATAAACTTTACTTTGACCCTGAGGCCCTGTGTGCGCCCACCCCTCCCCTTAACGCCTTCACCACACTGCCCCACTGGCCTTCCTTCTGTGCACCAAACGAAAAAGTGTTACTACCGCAGTGTCTTTGAGCTGGATACTCCCTTTCCTGTGTCTAGTGCAACTGAAAAACTGAATTTTCAAATTTTATCCAATTTAGCCCTGGCTCATGTGGCTCAGTGGGCTGGGCGTTGTCCTATGCACTGAAAAGTTGCCCCTTCTATTCCTGGTTGGGCACATGCCTGGGTTTTGGCTCCATCAAATGGTGAGGTAGCCAATCTCACATGAATGTTTCTCTCTTTTGCTCTCCCTCTAAAAAAAAATCAATAAAGAGCTTCAAAATTTTTTATTTAATTTAAAACTGTAGTGTAAAATTTTTTTGATAAACACTATTGTTTTTTAGGATTACATTGACTTTGTTAAAAATTAACATCTGAATTAAGATGTGGCCCAGCCAGTGTGGCTCAGTAACCACTGAGCACTGAACTGTAAATCAGGAGGTCATGGTTGGAGTCCCAGTCAAGGCACATGCCCAGGTTGTGGGCTCCATCCCCAGTAGGGGTTATGTAGGAGGCAGCTGATTGATGATTCTCTCTCATCATTGATGTTTCTATCTCTCTTCCTCTCCCTTCCTCTCTGAAATCAAAAAGAAAAGAAAATCATAATATTTTGGACATATTGGGTTAAATACAATATTAAAGTTAATTACATGTGTTTCTTTTTACTTTTAAAAAATGTGGCTGTTATAACATTTAAAATTATATATGTGGTTCCCATTGTATTTCTACTGGGTGTTGCTGCTGAGATGACTGAATTTTTCAGTCTGATATTTAAATGCTTCCTTGCAGAGGTTTTCCTTTCTATCTCATTACCATGCTTTAATTCCTTCAGTGTTTATCATATTAAGAATTTATTTCACCTATTTATTGGTTTACTTGCTGTTTGCCTGTTTTCCCCAAAAGAATGTAAACTCTATGAAAGCAGGGATATATCTCCTTGTTCACTTCCATATTCCCGGTACCTAGCATATAGATATATTTGGCAATTATATACTCTTATCTGTCAATCATTTGATTTGCTTGTTCACTTTACCTAAAGCCCAGAGAGGAGCAGGAACGTTCTCAAGATCAGACAGACAGTGCCAGCTCCTACCTCCCAAAGCCTACTCCAGGGTTCCCTGGTCTGATTACAGATGATCTGATAAAATGAGGCACACTAAGGAATAATGTGTGCATCTCAACAATGCCTTACTCCAGTGTTTCCCAAAGTGTGGGAATCTCTACCATAGTGATATGATTTTAAATGGTGCATGAATATTAAATGATGCTGAATCCCAGTGAGAAAGGATTGTTTATTTTTTATCTTGTTCAACTTGAAAGGCTCAATATGGTCTGGTGCCAATATGTCCATAATGCCTCCCCAATACTTTATAATCTTCCTTTTAACACAGAGAACAAGCCTCAGATTTAGAGCCTTTGGCAGGCAATACCATTTAGCTAGAATCCACCAACGGTGTTTTATTTTTATTTTACTTATTATTTTTAAATATATTTTTATTAATTTCAGAGAGGAAGGGAGAGGAAGAGACTGCAACATCAATAATGAGAGAATCATCAATGGGCTGCCTCCTGCACATCTCAAGCCTGAAACCCAGGCATGTGCCCTGACCGAGAATTCAACCATGACTCCCTGGTTCATAGGTCAATGCTCAACCACTGAACCATGCTGGCCGGGCTCATTTTACTTATTTTTATTATTTTTATAGTTACCTTCTACTTATGACAAAGGATATGAGTTTTTTTGTATCACAATAATATAATTTATAACATTTTTTTAAATATATTTTATTGGTTTTTTACAGAGAGGAAGGGAGAGAGATAGAGAGTCAGAAACATCGATGAGAGAGAAACATCGATCAGCTGCCTCCTGCACATCTCCTACTGGGGATATTCCCGCAACCAAGGCACATGCCCTTGACCGGAATCGAACCTGGGACCCTTCAGTCCGCAGGCTGACGCTCTATCCACCGAGCCAAACCGGTTTCGGCAAATTTATAACATTTTAATTTTAAACGTATTTAATACATAGATGAAACTCAGATGTGGCAAAAGTTGTGGAAATGGTTCTGAAATGACTGAGGTTTAGGAAACTTTGCATTCATCCAAAAGAATAAGTGATGATAAAGTTTCAGGCAGGGGGCTAGCTAGTATAAGAAGATGCTTTTCACATGTATGTTTTTTTTACTCAGTGAACCTCAGCTCCTGGGGCTTCTGTGAAGGTCTGGTTCAGGACTCAAGGGCAGGAAGCCTTTAGGTAGCTGTCAGCTACTTTTTTCATGTAGGTCTGAAAAATCATTTAGTTCCCACCCAGAGCTTGGGGGTCCTCCCCTTTTAAGTCCAGTCCCACCCCCACAGTGAGAAGTCCCAGGCCTACCTTGGAAGCTCTCTTCTTTTCTGCCTCTTTTCTGCTGATCTTTTTGGACTTTTTGTTTAGCCCTTTAAAGAGAGAAGAGAGCAAAGACAGATGTTTCTGGGGCCCTGAGCTGCAGTGAAGTGGGAAGTGCTGAGGGGGCTCCTGGAAGTCCCAAGGTGGCGGGGAGGATGAGAGGTTGGCTGGATGAATCACATCTTGGTACTTAGGCCATCAGGTTCTTTTTTTGGCCATCAGGTTCTTGTTAGCCTGGCTGCTGACCTGGAGCCAGGGACTGAGAGCAAAGTGTCCTCTGAGGGAAGGCAAAGAGGAAATTCCAGAAGGCCCTGTAAAATGGACTCAGTGTCTTATACATGGATGGACCTGGGTTTCCTATAGTCCTATTTTCCATTTCTCAGAGCTTTGGAGTCAGGCAGACCTGATTTAAATTCAGTCTTTGCAATATAGCATCTGTGTAGTCTTAGCCAATCTACTTATCCTTCTTAAGACTCAGTTTTCTCATCTGCAAACAGGGTACTGTAATACCTACCTTGCAGGGTTGTCTTGAGGATAAATAAGGTATGTTTGTAAAGTGGAAAGTCTGGCACATCAAAGGTGATCAATCAGTGTTGATGTACTTCAACCCCCTTCCCTTGCCTTACTTCAGCTAGACTATCCTCTTTTGCTAGTGAGAAGCAAGGCAGTAAGGGACATTAGTTTTTATTTTAGGTTCTGAAGTTAAACAACTGGGTTTAAATTCTGGCTCTGCCAATTAAGAACTGTGTGATCTTATGTTAGCTACTTAGCTTTCCTAAGACACAATTTCTTCAACTGTGAAATAGGAGTAAAAATAGTACCTCACCTCACAGCGCCTAGCACACAATAAGTACTAGTATGCTTATTATTTTCAGATGGAAATAATAATTTAAAACAGATCTCTAGTACCAGCTGTAATGGCCCTGATACATTCCCTGAGCAGTCATTCTCAACCCTGGCCTGACAGGACTGATTCATCCCAGACTTGGTTATATTCTGCAGGATTTCCTAGTTTGTTACCACTGATAGGCGTGCTGTGATTCAATAAGTGTCAAAAATGCTAAGCTAAACTAAGTTCACCAAGTGTCTTAACTCGCCAAGCTTCTAACATGCCAAGCTACATTTTAGGTAGGTTGGTATGCAGGGCTTTCCTAAACCAAATGAGTCAAGGGATGCTTTATTCGTCCAGGATTATTTCATGGGGTGAGCAAGAAGGAGCCTTGACCTATGGCAGTGGATCTTGGTATCAGCCTGGGGAGCATGTTTGGCACCCTGAAGTCCCTTCTCAACGGCCAGAACCCAGAAGCTGGGCCCAAGGCCGGACTACTTACCCATGATAGAGACAGAAGGGGAATCCAACAGGTTCGTGGAGGAGTTGCTCCTCAGGCTTCTGTCATTGTTGGGCTTCTGTTCAGGGGCCAGGTGGCTGTAAGCAGTGAGGAAGCACAGGCAGACCAACAGGGTGGCCAGGAGCAGGCGGGTGACATCCATCTGAGGAGGCCTGAGTGGGACAGGGAAGGCAGTCAGGTGATGTGACAAGAGAATGTGCCCTCCTGCTTTCTTTGTTTCTATGGGCTGGTGCTCTGACCCCGGTTCCCAGGGAACTGGAGGACCAGCAAGGCTTAAGACAGGGAAGGGGAACGGATAAGGCTCATAAGACTCGATGAAAAAGATGCAGGGATAAACGGCTCCTTCAGACAAGTGTATGTCGTCGCATAAACTATATTCCCACACACCGAGGGAATGAATGCAGGTGTGGTTTGAGTCAGGAGAATGAACGAATGCACATAGGCTAACTGGATTTGTTGATTTATTGATCTATCACTAGCTGGATTATGATGAAGCAGATGGATCCCAGAGTGGATTTCTTCCCTCGTTTGTGCGGGTTTGTCTCAATGAGGGCTTTAGCATCATCTTCATATTCTCTAAATGCAGCCTCTCTACCCAGGCCCTCCCTGGGCATGTTCTCTGTGGTCTGGGAAGAAGCTGAGGCTGCTTTTCTAAGGTTCCGTCTGCCCTGCCATAAGGCTCTGTGGGTGAGAAGAGAATGTCTGTTCTTGCTGGTCCCGCCCACTCCTTGACTCCGTACAGCAGCCTAGCTAATGTCTAGACCTAGACTCTAGCCTATTCCTCCCAGCCTTCAGCTTGGTTGGAGTAAAATTTTCTTTATGTCTGTTACATTCCAGGAGTAGGGGATCCAAACAGTCAGCCCTCACCCTCATTATAAACTCCTTGAAGTCCATCCTCTCCTCCTCTCAGCCCTAATGACATGCCTCCTGATTTCTTTAGATCCCTTCATCATCGGGCATTTGCCCATTATGAACTGGCCACCATATTTCTTCTCAAAACCTGGTAGGGAGTCAATGAAATGAACACTGGGCTGGGAGTCAGGAGCTTTGACTTCTTGTCTTGATGTAAGCATTAGTAAGATGCATGACTGGATAAATCCATTCTTTTTTATAGACTCTAAGTTCCTTGTTGATAAAATGAGAGGAGTGGACTAGGTCAGTGGTTTGCATTATTTAGCAGGGGAACTCTTTCTTCAAATAAACGCTGACTTGCAGAATACTCAAATGTAAAAATGAAAGAGGCAATAAAGAAGTTTCTTAAGCAGCTCACATCTTTGTTGTGTGGTGGATCAACAAATCTCATGTCCTAAAGCCTAAAACATCTCTTCAGGCCCTCAGGTTCTTACCTCATGCAATTTGATCTCTGAGGTTCTACCTCATATCAGCAACTGTTAAACAAAACAAACCTGTATCAAAAACAAACCAGTCCTGGCCAGTTGCTCAGTGTTTAGCCCACAGACTGAAGGGTTGCAGTCAAGGGCATGTACTAGGTTGCAGGCTCGATCCCTGGCCCTGGTTGTGGTGTGTGCAGAAGGTAACCAATTGATGTGTCTTGTATCGGTGCTTCTCTGTCTCTCCCCTTCCCTTCCAGCCTCTCTAAAAATCAATGGAGATTTTTCCTTGGGTAAGGATTAACAACAACAACAAAAGGTTCCTTTGCTATATAAGCAACAATAAGTAATAAACTTAAAATACAATTTCTTAGAATCCAAATAACTTAGTGGAACTATAAAACTACACTGAGTCTGGAAAGGGTGAAGTCTCAGTGGAATTAATCTTCTTTGTATTGGGAGAGGGCTAAAAACCAGTATACCTTGCACCAATCCTGGGGAGGATATGTATATTCTAAATGTAATATAGGTCCATAATACCTGGTTGTATTATAATCCTTGGAGTCAGATTTTTTTTTAATTTAGAATTTTGTGGATTGTGACAAAACAATATCTAAATACTTTATTAAACCCCATTATAAGGGGCCTGGGAGCATCCATGATAAAAATATTGATGCTTCTGTAGCAAAAAGATGTGACTATTCATAACAAAGACTGTGAATTGATTCACATACTCAGGTCAGGTTTGTTGCCAAATGATTTCAGGTAAGGTCATTTTGCTGTCAAATGGATTGCCAAAGGAAAATTAAAACCTTACAATTTTCAGAGTTTGGGGATTTGGAAATTTCAGGTAAAGGATTATGGACCTGTAAAAGCCCTCATTGCTGTTACTACTCAACATGAGACACACACTCCCTGCTATTAATACAGGATAATAATGCTGGCAGCAATGACTACCTGTGTAATGTTTCTCAAGAAAAATTTGTCGTTCCACTCTGTAGTAGTGAGGCAGTTCTTTGATTTGTAGTGTCACTGATGACAAGTCCTTCTCTTAAACTCATCAGCTGCTTTAAGTTACTGCTTAGCACTTAAGATGAATTTCTCTTCAGCATGGTGGATAGAAAGAATCCAGGAAGGGGAGTCAGGTCACCTGGATGTACTTGCCATTTAAGGGGCTGTGTGACCCTGCTTGTCTGGGCCTCTGGGTTCTCATCTGTAAAATGAGACAATAGGGCTATAAAACTCAAGTATATATTACGAGGCACAGAGTAGCGACTTAATAAAAAATTACTGAATAGAAGAATCTAAATATATTTCTATTCTAAAACTCTATGAATTCATAATTTCTAATTCTAGCTTCCCAGGCTTTGGGGCAGGTTAGACAGTTGCACCAAGAAAGATTTTGTAAAGGCTACTTGTGAATCCTTAGGAGTTGAGGGATTTACAAATGCATGAGTGTGATTGAATCTGACTAAACTGTAAAAGAGGCTGTGGGAAGTCATGACTAAATGCCATCAGCTTATGTTCCTTAAGAGTCTTGTTGGTGTGTGTCCATACGTGTGTGTGTGTGTGCAAGAGAACTAATGTGTAAGGTCTCTGACAGAGGGAGTGTGGGAAACAGTGTCCAAATCATCTCTGAGTATGGTGACAGTGTAACAGTATACATTGCACACCGAACACTGCAGATATCCCCTTGGCGATGGCACTGGGATAGTCTGGTATCTTAATCCTCCAGGGTCAAAGCGTTGGTCCCCAAAGCAAAGGAAAAGATGATAATCTCCCAGTGATGGGGATGACTAACCACCCATTGGGACAGAAGTATAGGGAGAGATGGAAACTGAAGAAGAGGTGAAGGAGCAGAGTCTTCTTTGAAGACGGTGAACAATAATAACTGCTGACCATACTAGATGTTAATGAGGCGCAGCCCTGATATCCTGTCCTGGGCTTTGCTTGGTGGCACCGGTAAGGGGAGCCAGTGTGTCTGGGCAGCTAGCAAGCTGGCATTGCAGAGGAGGTGACTGGGCTCAGTTGGCTTCCACCACTGGCTTCCAGTCCTGCCAAGCACTAATAGCCAGGGATTTGGGGACCTGGGTCCACTCATCTCTGTGTAGGAGAAAAGTGGCCAAAGGCAAAGTAATGCTCAAGAAGGGCCCAACGCAGAGGATCAACTCATATAGGCTAGTGGTGATGGAGGCAGACTCTCCCCTCACCAGTTTTTTGAACAACAACAAAAAAAAAACTTGGGAAGAAAAGGAAATTATAGCAGGGGGGAATCATAACCTTGATGTTGTTTGCAAAACTTTCTGCATATGTGCATTTTTTTTGGGGGGGGGGGAAGAAAGTCCATTGCTTTCTCTGAATCCATAAGGGAGTCTCTGGCCCCTAAAAAGCTCAGAACCACCCAGGCTCTGGGAGATAAAGTGGAGACCCTTTCTTTGTATATTACGTTCCTGCAACCTGAGTGGGGCGCATCCAGAATCACAGGCATATGAGAGCAGAGATGATCAGTTTTTTTTCTGTCTAAGCAATAATTCTATAGTTGGGCAAGTGTGCTTGTTAGAAGGGGCACATCATTCTGTACTAGTGCTGGTTTAGAATATATTAAAGAAATATAACATTGAAGCAAACTGAAGAATATAAACAGTGTGATCCCACTTGTGAACAAATATAAAGACGCTCTCAATGTGTTTATGCTTACACTAGAGACCCGGTACACGAATTCGTGCATGAGGGGTGTGGGGGAGGGGGTGGTGGGGATCACAGGAGGTCGGCCGGCAGGCCCCGATCTAGTTGTGTAGATGTGCTGAGGTAGCAGCAAGCAAATTCCACAGACAGAGAGCCCCAAAATGGCCTGACCACCAGCTATGCTCTGAGGTGGAAATACAGCTCTACTTTGCTTGCTCCGCTTGGGCCGCCTCACTCTCCCCGAAAGAGAGGTAGAGACATGCACATTTTCAGGTACTTCAGTATTTGAATTTTTTTACAAGCGTGTTATTGCTTTGTAATAAAACATTGAAGAATAATAGAAATAAAATAGTGGATGTGGCTTGACATATCATCAAAGGATTTAAAGAAGCTGCAGAGAGAGTTATATTTAATTAGTGACAATGAGGCTAAGGAACTTGCAAGAACTTCCTCCTTTTTTGTACTTCAAATTCAGGGTACAGTTTGCTCTCGTTACCAAAACATAGGACTTTCTCTAAGTGTAACTTCTTTTTACCCGGGGCCCGCCCCTTAATTATCCTGGAATACTCTCAAAGCCTGTTATCCTTATGGTTCATCAGCTACTGTTTCTGATATACCAAAACCTGGGAGAGGTAACACAATTTTTATAGTGGTTCAGTTTCTCTGCCAAACTAGCTGTACCAAATACTGAGGGTCAGGGCCAGAGGAGAAATATCTCTCACTCATAGTTAACTAGATTTCCTACACCAGATATCCAATGGCTACATAAGGATCCTACTGCTCCACACGTCTTTCACCCATGTGGGCATCCATGATATGTGCAGCTGGGCTGAGCTTAGGAGGTTCCATTAGGGCTACTAGCCCATTTCTTTTCTAAAACATATATTTTATTGATTTTTTACAGAGAGGAAGGGAGGGGACTAGAGAGTTAGAAATATCGATGAGAGAAACATCGAACAGCTGCCTCCTGCATACCCCTCACTGGGGATGTGCCTGCAACCAAGGTACATGCCCTTGACTGGAATCGAACCTGGGACCCTTTAGTCCGCAGGCCGACGCTCTATCCACTGAACCAAACCGGTTAGGGCTTGCCCATTTCTTTCTCCCCCCCGCCCCCCACTTATTTATTTGTATTT